CATTTTTATGTTTATTGATCCCGAAAAGCATGGAGATAAAGTCAAAAAATGAAGAGACCGCCTCAGTAAAATTTTCACTTTTCTTGGTTTTATGATTGTTGGCTTATCTAGTTATTGAGGTTATATCCAAAACAGCATCGGATATATTGCTTTATTAACTTTAATTTTGCTGATAATTAATTGCTTAATTGATGCTTTGATCCAGTGAATGAATAAATACGGAGTTTGTAGTGGATTTAGTTTATTACTTTTTGTAGAATTCTTACCAACTCAATGAATTTCAAATACGCTTTGACCTAGCCTAAAAGGAGAAAGTGGTAATTGAACCAATGCCGGTCTTCTCCAGCAGCCTTGATTTTGCATGCTTTTAGTCTTAGCAATTTCAATTTTCTTTATCTGAATTATCAATTTAAAATGAGAAGCACCTATTGAAAGTAATTCCACCTATTTTGCTGATAACCCATTAGTGAAAAAACATCGCTCAAAATTAGGTTTTCGAATGAATTTTAGTTTTATGCATCTCTATCAATTAGCCCAAGGTTTAACCTGAATTTTTGTTCTCGTTAAATTACTAGGGGGTTGAGGAGGAGCCAATCGCCCTGACACTAGCAGCAATTTTCTTGTGAGAATGGTCCAAAAAGGTTTATGAATAAATGGAGATACTCGCAATCCCCAAAATTTAGCCCGTCAATCTGTCGTTTGGGAAGGAGGAAAAGAAGGCGTTGGCGAAAGTTTTTTTCTCTTAAATAATAAAAAAAGGCTATTTGGCAATCTATTTCAGTGAATTGGAGGCTGAAAAGGGGCAATTATCTTTGCTCTATTATTATTAATTCTTTTTCGCTGGCTTGCTATTTGATTTGGCATTCGTAAATTAAACTTAAAAACTAGGAAAATTAGCAGTATTTTGAAAAAAAAAGGTATTTATGTCAATTATCTTTCCTTTGGTAAATGAACTCGAGAATTATTAAGAAAAATAGTTAATCGTTTGATTTTCCTCTGATTTTGTATAATTTTACTTTTTAACATTGTTTTCGACCAAATTTTCACTAATTTAGAAAAAAAGGAAGTAGAAATGGTAAAAGAAGCAGGCAAAATATCCCCCGGAATTTCTGAGACCCGGCCAGGTCAATTTTTCCCTCGCTTTTTGGACTGGTTTGGTAGCATTGGTATTGGTATTGACCTCTATCGTCAAATCAAAACTAAATACAAATACAACCAAAGAAGTTAAAAATTAATGAATATATGACCGAAAAAAAATCATCAACAGCCAGCAAAAAAAGCAGCATTATTTCTTTATTAATCAACCCTTTGCTTAATTATATTGATTGAGAAGAAGAACCAAAAATAATTCATTATTATTCTCTCAGTGAACTTGTTGCTGGTCGCAAAGAAAAGCTAATTGCTTGGCAAAAGCAAAAAAGCGGTGATTTGATTTCCTTCACAGAAAAACTAAACGATTTAGAAATTGCCAGTAATGACAAACTCAAACAAATTTTAGAAATCCGCGGAAAGAAAATTATTTTTATTAATTTTCCACGAAAGAAAGAAGATTTACAAGAATTAGAAAAATGAATTCGTTTTGCCGACCAAAATCTTCCCGTTTTCTTTTTGGTTTATTTTCCAGAAAAAACAAAAGAAATTTTTGTTGAATTGAAAAATGAAAATGTTATTTGCCCTCTCTGCGAAAAGTCTTGAAAAAAAAGTGCAACTATTAAAGAAAGGAGTTTTCTTTGTCCTATTGACGAAATAACTCTCTCCCAAGAAGAAGTAGAAAAATTTACTGAATTCCTGATTACTGATTATACACAAAAAAGTCTTGAAATAGTCGAATATGCCAAAAAAAATAAATATAAAATGCTCCAACGAGAATTATCACTTAGAATAGATTTTGAACCAGAGATACTCCAAAAGTCCTTACAAGAAAAAATCAACTTAGTTAAATAAAATGGAACCCCAAGAATTACCAAAAATGCGAAAAGTAGGTCAAACAGTAGCCGAAATTCTAAAAACTTTAAAAAAAGAAAACTGCCAGAAGGAGAAGAAACCAAATTACGTAAAAAAACTTCTCCTAAATCACGTAAAATTAAAAGAATTTCTGCCCAGATAGTGAAGAAAAATAATTACTTCACTCGCAATAATATTACTCATATTGATTATAAAGATACCAAACTATTAGGTCATTTTGTTAATAAACAAGGACAAATAATTCCTAAAACTTTTGTTAAATTGCCAAGCAAAATTCAAAGAATAGTAACTAAAAATATCAAAAGAGCTAGACAAATGAAACTAATGCCTTATATTGTTATCAACCAAGGAGATTTTTAAATTTTTTCTTGTTTGTAATTTAGGATAAAAGTCCAATAATTCTACCTTTTAAATCTCCTAAGGGAATTTCGACCAAAACTCTATCTCCTTCCATGATTCCTTTTCATCTCCTATCTTTACTTTTTAAACGATTAGCAATTTCCGCATTGATTAAAAGATTACGCTTGCTTAATTGGACTTGAAAAGAATTAATATTATACTTTTTAACTATTTTTCCCTCTTCTTCTAAGAAAATTGTTTTTTTATTCGTCATAATTAGTTAAAACCTCCGCTTTTTCTTTACCTACTCAAATGGTGTGTTCAAAGTGAGCATTAAGTTGACCCTGAGCCGAAAGCACGCTTCAATTGTTTGGGGATAATTTGATTTCTGCATTTTCAATTTGGACTAATGGCTCGACACAAATAGCAGTGTTGTCTCGGATAATTACACTTCTTTCGGGGGGGATTTTGTAATTAGGAATAAAAGGCTTTTCATGCATAAATCGACCAATTCCG